AAGACTGTTTTGAATATTCTTCATGAGAGTTTCAATTATTTTTGGCGGACGGCGCTTGAATCTGAATAGACCATCGCTGTTTGAACCTTGGGAGAAGCTGCTGGAGAGGAGGAGTGGATCGTGTTGTTCTCTTGGGCTTGCTTTCCCAGTGCTGCCTTCAGTCTTGTGGTTTTGACAAAGGGCACCACCTGTCTATTAGGTGATGGTTGGCGTTGTTGAAAGTAGATAAATTAATCTGCACATCCATTTATGGGGGCACCTGTGTCCATCAAACAGGCCAGATATCCCAACGAGGGCGGTGCTGGCAGTTACCTTCCTTGGTCCGGGGGTGCTGATTCCTGTCTTCGGATGCAGGTGTTCCAAGTGTACGTGCCCCTATCAGTCAATGTCATTTAATTGATTTCTCGTTGTTTTAAAAAAACTGAAGACCATACATTGAAGTTCTGTTCTTTTCTTCCCCCGCGCCCATGCTTCATGCTTTGGAGATTCCTTGTTCAGGAAGTGGCGATCTCAGAATCCTTGTCTCTAATGCATGCTCTGGGAATGGCTGTGGGGAGAGGCGTCCTTGGGCTGTGGAGCTGGGATTTCATAATTTTCAGCACTCAAGAGAAGCTCAGGGCATCTGCAGATGGCAGTGCTGCCTAAGTTCATGATGGCCATTCTCATTCCTTACTTTGCTGTCCTCTTGAAGGCTGGAATATTTTGGAATTTTGGGGTGAACCCTTGGGGAATAGGATGAAAGCTATGCCTCCCTATTCAAGAAAAATGCGCAAACAAATTTTCCATTCAATTACAGAGGAATTCAGCGATCCCTTGAAGCTCAGGATGAAGAACCTGTTTAGAAGTGAAAAAGGCAAGTTAGGTTTGGAAGGCCTCTGTCCTTTGTCTCAAAACTTCCTTCCCCTGCAGCTCCCTTGAGTTTCAGACCCTGCTTGCTGCACAGAGGTAGGAAGGAGCCGGAACTTTGATTTCAAAGACATTCAGGATTGCAATTCTATTCATTCTCTCCACTGATTAGCTGGGTTAACTTGGGCAGTTTTTCACGCTGTAAAATGGGTTGTGTTAATCCATACCTTTTAATACTCCCCTTTTTGTTGGCCCTCTTTCGGCTTTATTGGCCTTCTTGCTTATTCTTGAAGTATCTGACCTCTTTCCTGCCTCAGGGCCTTTGCACTTTCTGTTTGCTGTGCCTGGAATGCTCATTGCCTCATCTTTACGTGTGTTAGTTTTCTGTCGCTATCAGATACACTCGAAACAATCAGAAGTTTATTTTGACTTGCAGTTGTGGAGGTTTTGGTCCGTGAACAGTTGGCCTAGTTATCTGTGAACCCATGGCAAGGCAGCACGTCGTTGTTAGAATCACATGATAGATCAAAGCCATTCATTTCATGTTCAGGGAAGCAAAAAAAAAAAAAAAAAAAA